GTCGGTCCGACAGCGGCGCATGACAGCTGGCACTTCTGGCGGCATTAGCCTCCCCTCGGATTCCGATAGCCTCGACGATCTGCTCCACCTTGATCTGGAAGACATCACCAACTCAGCAGCGGGCAGTGTTACTAGTCCTTCCGACTACTCGGGTCGATCCAAGCACAGTCCCGGAGACTCCATCGCCGGAACACCTGGCTGGGACACTTCTTCCGTCGGATTCTCGAGCAGACACTCCGTGGGCGGTACCCCTGGCCAACTTGCAGGTAGCGAAGCGGTTGAAAGCTACTTCGATGCGAGAAAACAATATGGCAAAACGTTGAACGCCCCAACTTCGACGCCTCATGAACAAGCTGCCCGCAAGACAGACAAGCGTCCTGCAAAGCGAGTGACTGTAAACCCAGTAGCTGAACAGGCCAATGACGATGCTTCCAAGGCACGTAGCGATAAGCCAGACGAGTCGTTGAGCACGCGTCGCGCCCAGATGCAGAGCAACTCCAACAGAGGCCATTCGTTCTTGCACTCATACGGTGCAGACTTCAGCTCGTCATTCCAGTCCTTGCAATCGGCGACAACACCCGGTGGGAAGCCTCAGGCCCCGCATGGTCATGTGAGGAGACCGTCCATCACCGAAACGTCTGACATGCCACCTCCTTCAGAAAGTCTACTCCGGACAATCACCGACTCATTACCGGTGCAGATCTTCACCGCCGCTCCCAATACCGGAGCAATTACTTGGGTCAACTCCAAATTCCTGATATATAGAGGCCAGGATCAACGGCAGGTGTTGCAAGACCCATGGGATTCAATTCACCCAGAGGATCGCGATTCGTATCTGGAGGAGTGGAGCAGATCGCTACGCACTGGTCAGCAATTGCAGAAGAAAGTGAGATTGCAAAGGTTCGATCACCACTACCGATGGTTCTACGTTCGTGTCGCCCCACTCAAGAACAAGCGCCAGCAGATTGTTCACTGGATCGGTACCAACATGGATTTCCACGAACAGCATATTGCTGAACTCAATTCTGCTCGACAACAGGAGACGGCCGCGTCGGAAGCCAAATACCGCGCGCTGGCGAACTCGAGCCCGCAGATTGTGTTTGTCGTGTCCGATCGCAGAGGTTTAACGTTCTGCAATTCCCAATGGATTTCTTTCTCTGGCCAGAGTGAGATTCATGCCCTGGGCAACGGCTTCTTGGAGCATGTGCACCCTGATGACGTTGTCAAGTGCAAGCTTCCCGAGTTAGATGAACACGGAGTCGCCAATGTGCCTACTTCAATGCCAGCAGATCACGGTAGAACCGACTCAAACTCATCGGACGCTTCATCGGAGACTGAGCGAACAATCACCAGCCCAGGTGGATCAGTACCAGACCGCATGGACATGCCTCAGGCCAAGTTGTCCAAACTAGCAAGCACTGGTATTCTCAGGGTTGCAAAGGATGCAGATGGACGGGCATCGTATTCCACCGAAGTGCGACTTCGCAACAAAGACGGTGACTACAGGTGGCATCTGGTCAGGATCTTGTTAGAGAATTCACTCTCTGAAGACGGCGATGAAGAGACCTGGTATGGCACAGCTACCGACATCAATGACCACAAGCTGCTCGAGCAGACGTTGAAGGAAACCATGGATGCAAAGTCCAAGTTCCTCAGTAACATGTCCCATGAGATCCGTACTCCTCTGAACGGTATCTCCGGCATGGTCAACTTCCTGCTTGACAGCACGCTCAACTCTGAGCAGTTGGAGCATGTCAACATCATAAAAGCTAGTACCGACAGTCTGCTGAACCTCATCAACGACATTCTCGATCTGTCAAAGGTCGAAGCCGGTATGATCAAGCTGTCTATGGAATGGCTCCATCTGCCGTCGCTTCTTGAAGAGGTCAATGACTTGAATATGGGCTTAGCCATACAGAAAGGCCTTGAACTCAACTACCTTGTGGACGAAGGTGTGCCAGCAGAGGTCAAGGGTGACAAGTTCCGCATTCGCCAAGTTCTTCTCAATGTGGTTGGGAATGCAATCAAGTTCACCGAGCGAGGAGAAATCTTTATCCGATGCAGATTGCAACCACCCGATCGATCTCGGCCCCTGCGAGACAACGAGACCATGGTTCGGTTCGAAGTGGTTGACACCGGTCAAGGCTTCACAGATGCTGAGGCCAAGTACCTGTTCAAGCGATTCAGCCAAATTGACGCCAGCAGCACCCGGCAACATGGCGGAACAGGACTCGGCTTGGCTATCTCTATGCAGTTCGTCGAGCTACATGGAGGTAGAATGGACGCACGAAGTGCGCCAGGCAAGGGTTCGACTTTCTTCTTCACGATCAAGTTTGGGCTTCCCACCGCCGACGACTTCCCCAGGCCGCAGGTGTCGACACCAGGCACGCCAGCTTTTGAGACGCCGCTCGCAGTGCCAGCAGTGCCTCCACTACCCCAGCCCTCGGCTCTTCAGAAATTTGTTCAGTCACAAAATCCTAGCCAAGCACCGATCAAGCGCGTATCAAGCGTCTCCTCCGACAAGAGCGAACCTGTCAGGTCGCCTGCATCTAGTCTCTCAGCCTCTGAGCGTTCGCGCGACTCTCCGTCCCTCTCCTCTGGTAGCTCGGATCACTCTTTGACAAGTGCCGCTCTTACTGGACAGTCGAGCTTGCGTTCGGAAAGATCTTCTGCGTCTTCGTACCTGCAAGAAGCTAGCCCAGCTTCAGACCCGGATATCAAACTAGCTCTGCCACCCAAACGAACCGATAGCGAGGAAGCCCCCAAGCCCGACTCTTCCACCTCCATCAACTCGGACAAGACGCTCCGTGCGTCTTCACCCCATCGTAGTCTGTCACCGCTTGGCAGTGCTCTACAACCTCCCATGTATTCTATTCTGGTGGTGTGCCCATTGGAGCATAGTAGGGAAGCTACGATCCGACACATCAGGAACACGCTTCCTCAAGGGATACCTCATCAAGTGACGGGTCAAGCTAGCGTCATCGAGGCGCAGAAGATGATGGGTGGCGACAATCCCGTGCTATTCACCCATGTTGTTCTCGTGCTGCACGACACTGCCGAGGTGCACGCCATCGTGGACCAGATCTTCAGCTCCATGGCGTACGGCAACACATCTGTTGTCGTAGTCTCGGATCCGTCACAGAAGAAGGAGCTGATCAAAGAAGCACCGGTCTACGACTACGAGCAGCTTCACATGGATCGACGCCTCCAGTTCATCTACCGGCCTCTTAAACCTTCGAAGTTTGCCATCATCTTCGACCCACAGAAGGAGCGTGAGTCTAGCACGGATCGCAATCAAGACAGCGCACAGCAGGTCGTTGTCAGCCAAAAGCTCGTCTTTGAAGAACTCAAGCGCCGCGTGGGTGGCAAGAACCACAAGGTCTTGCTGGTCGAAGACAACAAGATCAACCAAACGGTTAGTGGCCTCTACATGTAACTTTTTGCGCATACTAATAGTCTTCAGGTCATCTTGAAATTCCTTGCCAGGATCGACATTGAAACAGAGACGGTACAGGATGGTGTTCAAGCTACCGATACCGTCTTTGCAAAGCCACCCGGCTATTACTCGATCATCCTCGTAAGTAGCAACGTCTGTTTCTTTCGGACAGTACTAACGTCGTCCAGTGTGATCTACACATGCCCAACAAAGACGGGTACCAAGCTTGCAAAGAAATACGGCGGTGGGAGAAGAAGCATAGCTACCGCCGCCACCCTATCATCGCGCTCTCTGCGAACGTCCTCGGTGATGTTTACGCAAAGTGCGTGGAAGCAGGCTTCAACTCTTACGTCACGAAGCCGGTGGAGTTCAAAGAACTCTCTCTTGCCATGACCAAGTTCCTGGATCCGGCCGACCCTTCGAAACAGCCTGCTCTCATGAAGAAGAAGTGAAAGTGGGTGACTTTACCTTTACGCACACGTACACATTGTATCGAGGCACGGTACTCGATTTTGCTCCTACCTGCATCAGCGAACGGCGCAGTTGGGGAGCCACTGGACGTGCTACTAGGCACACCGAACATGACAGTGGTCCACGTTACTACCATCGCACTAGAGGCGCTGGTTGTTACATGGGATGCTTCTCGCATCTCATATCCTTAGTTTGGTTATGCAGTTGGATTGTTAATGGATGTAATGTTTTCAAGGCGAATGCATGAGCATTTGACGGCGTATTGTTACTTTGGAGCGAACGCAGCTGGTGGAGGATGATTCCCCGTGGTATGGTTCATTAGGCGGCATTATGGCAGCAAACTCTGCCTTGGGATAGAAAGAGGGTGGGTATTATACATGGACTTGATACCTCAACACGCAGCGGGGATGACTATGCTGACGCAGCGCTATGGATGAGCGCGAACTTGTACAATAGCAACGATGTAACGGAGACGAGAACATATTCAAACCACCAATACCGATGCTCAGCTTCCTCATTTGCGTCTGGTGGTGCGATGAAGATGTCTCACGCGACCGTTGTGGACGCGCTAGACATGCATCTCGCGTCAAGAACGCCTTCTCCACCCCCCAAAACCCGCAATGCAAACATCACCACTTTCTCCACGCTTTAGTCATCTCGGCGCTGATTGGCCGGAGTTGGATGCATCTGACATCCGCATCGCGCTAATTGGTGGATACAAACAGGGGTTCGTGTTGTCGTCATTGTCTGCCGGAGCTTCCTCATCGCCTAAAGTCCGAAGCGCACCCCTCTGACACCTGTCGCACGCTGACAGTACATCCCTTGATCCTCTCCCAACTCTCAGGCTATCCATAGCATCGCATCTGAGTCTGTATATCACAGCATGGCTTCTGCGACGGGAATTCCACCAAATGCCGCCGCGGCGCGCGGACAGAGTGAACAAGAGCCGCTTCTAGGCAGAAGAGGAGATGCGAGCCAGATGCATGGGCAGCCTCTCTACCATAACCTGTGGATCGGTATGTGCTTTCAAGCATACGCTGTCAGGAAGAAGTCTAACAGACTCAGGCACCGCTCCCATCGCGCAAGCAGGAATATGGATCGTAAGCACCTCAACACCTCCAACACCACGCCCATACTAACGCGTCAAAAGCTCGCAGCCATCATCTGGGGCGCCATCTTCTCCAAGAAACTCATCTTCTTCTCCGCCCACCCAGTAAGCCCCATCCCTCCGCCCCAAACCTCGCCCACCACCAACTAACCACCCAACCACGCAGCTTCTCAACTCCGTAAGCCACAACACCACCCTAATCACCCCCTCCCGCCAACCGTATCATTGATACCCCCTAGGCCGGCTTCCTCCTAGCCATCCAAGCAGCCCTCGTCCTCCAACCAACCCACACCCCCGAACAAAAGCGCGCCGGCACCCTCGCCCACTTCCTCTTCCACGCGCTCGGCGCCTCCGCCCTCACCGCCGGCCTCATCATCATCGAAATGAACAAAGCCGGCCCGGACCACGAACACTTTGAATCTGCGCACGCGCGCCTCGGCCTTACCTTTTATATCCTTGTGTATATCCAGGCGATTGTGGGGTTCACGCAGTATTATGTGCCGCAGCTTTATGGCAGTGTGGAGAACGCGAAGAGTATTTATAAGTATCATAGGGTGGCTGGGTATGTTATTGCGGTGTTGGGGCTTGCGACGATTTGCGCGGCGACGTGGACGACGTATAATTTGAACTTGGCGCATGTGCAGCATTGGGCTGTTATTATTGCTAGTGTGCTGGTGCTTGTGGGGGTTGTGCCGAGGATTAGATTGAGTAAGTTTGGGATTAAGACGGGGGAGGGGGAGGTGAGGTTGCAGTAGATGGGCAGAAGTACGAGATTGGAAGCATTGGATTGCAAAGGAATTATGTTTGAAGCATGTGAGGGCTTCAAACGTGACGAAGTTATTTAGCATTGGTGGAATTCCCTCTTCCTGTAGGCGCTTTGGAAGTACAACCATGGGCTGAATGGCCGTGCAATGTCTACCTTCTACATGACAGTGCATTCCTTTCCCTCGCCGTTCTTCTCTACTTGGAGTCAGTTGACTCGCACGAGGGCTGATGTCATTGATGTGCTTACCCCTCTCCCTCTTTTGCTTCAGGACGTCATGAGACAGACGAGGAAACGTTGCAAGAAGGTCCTCAATCTCAGGCTTCTCAATCATCGCCATGTTACACGCGATCATCTGAGAGATCATAGTGCGCAGGCCCATTCCATCTGCCTCAGGTGAGCTCCAGGCCGCGCGCGCCGCCTGAGCGAACTCAGGTGTATCGTAGAACATCCGACAAGCCCGGCTGAACTTTTCCTTGATGAGATCTTGCAGGCCAATTGCGTCGTACTTCTCAGCCATAGTGTATAGCTTGATGTGATGCAAAAGCTGCTTTGATCCTCCAGTGACCTTCGGAAGCGAGGGCTTGCACACTAGACAAGTAAAACCACTAGTAGTGCACTTTGTCGACTGATCGCAGGTTTTGGGACCACAGACATGGTGAGGACAGAGGAACTTGCTATTGCAGCCTGTACAAAATCCAGCCTTGCATTTGTGAGGGAAGCCGTACGAGAAACGATTTCCTTCGCCATCATCAACGAGACGAGCGGCTACGGGTGTAGGTCCATTATGCCAAGTCTTTTTGTTGTCGGGAAGCACTGGGTCGTATTCGCCTTCGTAGATATACTGTAATAGTAGTTTGAAAGTAGCAGAGTCTTTGGCCGAGAGAGTAAGCTTGTCGTGTGGTGGCTATGAATGTCAGTATACACAAGCCTCTTACAAGAAGAAGATCTGATACATACTTGATCTTCGTTCTGCTTCGCCAGAGCGAGCTTTGGGGCGCGTGTATATACGATTGCTTTGTGGAGTTGGTAACTGTCGTTTCCGCAAGTAATAGTGAGATCAGAGAAAGCGCCAGAGCTGCGAAGACTATGTTGACGATGTTAGTGTTGATGCAAGGTATGGCAAGCAACGTACCTCTTAAATGCGGCTTGAAAGCCACTACGGGCAGCTTCCGCCATGTTTGTGGAGTGACGATGTAAGGAGTATGTATCGAATTGTGGTGAGAGTCAGTTCTGCTATTGTGGGCGGCGCGGCACCTGGATTCCCCGAGAAGCGCGAGCCGCGTAGTGAAAGTGAAACAAATGTCAACAATTTTGTAAATGATATGCATGTACGCATAAGCCAACCAGCTCAGCCAGTAGAAGCGGTAGATGTGGAGGGTCTGACGAATGGCATAACAGGAATGTAAGGTCGTGATTAACATGATTATGAAATGGCTACTGAGGATTGCGTTGCATGGCAACGCGTCTTAGTACACATCATGCCTTTACTGTGCTTTAATCCCAACTGCACGCTCATCTCACAACCATTTACTTTAGTAAATCATTGACATCACAGCAAAACAATAGCGCGGAGTCTAGTATCAGACGTTTCCCATTCCAATATCTTCGAGGTATCCAATAGCCAAACCTGTTCGGCTGTCTTCATCTTTTTCATACGAGGCCCAGATCATACTTTCGTATCTTCGTTGCTCTCACAGAACATGTCCGGCGTCCAATCTACTATTCTACCACCTTTCCTCATGCTGAAGTTCCGGATACACCCGAGTCTTAAGCAGGTCATAGGCTAGACCATTGAACTCGGTTAACAAAGCCTCAATCTCCGGCAGTTTCAAGAGTGCCTTCATATGTGCAGCGATAGTGTCGGTGACGATGTTCCGCAGGCCCTTGTCGTGATCAGGAGTGGTAGAGAAGGCATAGTGAGCTGCGTTGCCGAAGGCGAGAGTGTTCCACGACAGCTTACAAGCGAGACGAAACTTTACCTTGACGAGGTCTTTGAGGCCGGGGATATCGTACTTATCGGCAATTTCGTACATCTTCGCGTGGATGAGAAGCTCCTTCTCTTCTTCGCTGGCTTCTGCGCCAGGTTCGCAGGAGCGGCAAGTAAAGGAATTGCAGTTGCGATCGCAGTCAGTTCCGCAGGTGTGGTGAGTGCAGACCGTGGTTTGACATGAACCCCAGCCATTGCAACATCTATGTGGAAACTTTGCTTCACACTCGGTCGAAGGCCAGACTGGCTCCTGATCTGCAGGTGCCTGATCTGCAGTTGGTTCATAATCGCCCTCGTAGATCCATTGGAACAGCAGCTTGATGATGGCGGGATCGTCCTCGGGAAGATCAACAGTGTTCTCAATTGCTTCCTACAATTGTGTTAACAAGCAGGCCGTTTCGCGATCGAACTCGTCGTCACTGGAGAAGTTAGAAACGTACCTTCCCACCGAATTGCAGAGCACGAGCGAAGAACTCCGCACGAGAACACACAATGTTCTTGTGGACTTTGTAGGTATCAGGACCGCAGGTGACGGTGAAGTCGGACGATGCGCCTGTGACGAGCAGACTGAGGACTGTCAGTTTGTGTGTGGATCTTTTTGTGTAAGCTCACTTACTTCTTGAGAGTTGTGATCAACTGCTTTTGCGAAGCTTCTGCCATCTTTTGCGTTGAGCACGATCGCAGTGTTGGTAAGAGAGGAGTACAAATAGGTAGAGGGTAAGTTTTCTCAGAAACTTCGTAACCGGCGCGACTTTCTTCCGGGTGTTTTTCTCATCTTGAAGTGAATGTGAACCGATGTCGACAGTCTCGTTAAACATATGCATGTACGTATCACTGAACTGATCAGTCAGCATCAGCGGTGGATGAGAAGAATATGACAAATGGCACCGCACGAAGATGAGGAAGTAGATGGAATGGCTGACCTTTGACCCAATGATGATCTCATCCCATACTCAAGAGCTTTTGCGCATGTTTCCATATTGTTTTGAATGCCCGTTTCTGATTTCACCGTTTCTCCATGATGCTTCTGCTTCTCGTAGATTCTTGTCCTACCACGTTCGTGCATCCATATTCATTCTCGAAGTCTCTCATGATCTAGCTCACGCCAATCACTCAACCTGTCTTCCTCGTCAATTTGAGGAGACCGAACGCCAACCCGTTGAACTCAGTGAGTAGAGCCTCGATCTCCGGCTTATCCATCAAGCACATGTGTTTGCTAATTGTCAAGCTGACTAGATCGCGTAAGCCCTTGTCGGAGTCGGGCGTTGTAGAGAAGACGTGATGCGCTGCCACCGCGAAGACGTCATTATCCCAGAATTGCTCGCAGGACCTCTTGAACTTCTCACGAGCCAGATCCTTAAGACCTTTCACCTCATACTTGTCTGCAATCTCGTATATCTTGGTGTGGAGAAGAGGTTGGCTAGATTCGCCGTTTAACGGAGGGAGTGCTGCTGCATTCACCTCGCATTTATCGCAGGTGAAATTGGCACAGCACACAGATCCGGTTGCCAGAAAATAACCAGCTTCGTCGTAATTGCACCTGTGATGTGGACAAACCGTAGGATCATTGCATGTTACATGGAACAGACTGATCGAGCAGCATGTATGGGGAAAGCGATAATGAAACTCATCTCCGTTCGCGTGATATTTGGGGCGATTTGTCTTGTTCGTGAACGGAGTAGATCCAGTAGAGTCTACATCTGGTAGCAGCGGCGTATATTCGGCTTCGTATAGGTACTGGATCAAGCGTCTAACAACGGCGGGGTCGTCTTCCGGGAGATCGACAACATCATTCTGAGATTCCTTCGCTGGCGGTCAGTCCATGGTGCTCAATCGTCGTCATCTTGAGGCAACTCACTTTTCCGCCAAACCGGATGGCCCGTGTGAAGAAGTCAATTTTGTCACAAACAATGTTCTTGTGGACTTTGTAGGTATCGCCGTTACAGCTAATGGTGAGGTCGGAATATGCGCCGGATTCAAGTAAGCTGTAATGTGGTCAGTGTCACTGCGATGATAGTCTGGGAGAACAAGGAGCTGGCACAACCAAGCTTACCCTTTGAGTGAGGCTAGAGCCTGTTGCTGAGCAGCAGCCGCCATTTCGACTGTGGTCGTGGTCGTGGTCGTGAAGGTGGGTGTGGAGAGAAACTGGGTGGCAGTGAGTGGTTGAATTATGTACCTAGGTGGTCTTACCACTAGCGCGACTCTACTCCGCTCCGGTCTAAGGACGAGGTGAAGGTGAGTGAGGATCTTGGAGCGGCAGAGTTTGGAATATGATGCAAGCGCGAAGTGCTTGACGCGCGCAAATGAGAGATCGATAGGAAAGTCTTGGCTACCGTGGTTGAGTATGGAGATGACTTCGGGGTCACTCCGACGCATCATGGCGAACCACCGTTGCCGACTTACCAACCTACCAATGTACACACCCAAAGAGCCTTGACAGAAGACTTTGAGCGCGAAGCCCAGAAGATGGATAGAAAAGCCTCTGACGATGAATACCGATAAACCCTTGCGGCCACTTTGGGGATGATCTCAGACCAGTTTTGAACGCATTTGCAGATACCAACTTCGAGTATTCACAATTCTGAAGTATGGGAGGCACGTGGATATTTCCATGGCAACGAAGCATGAGTACAGTGATTATGTAAATTGACATCTAACGCTGCTAAAAGAACATCTAACGAATCATTACTGTTCTACAACCTCGCCTCAACCGCCGTCCCTTGCGACTGCTGCGCCTGAGCCTGCCCTTGACCTTTCTCCCGTATCGCCTCCTCAAAGATTTGCATAAACCGCCAAACATCGCTGAAAGTGTTGTACATTGGTACAGGCGCAACACGAATGATGCCTGGTTTCCTCTTGTCGCAGACAACACCGTTCTCCACTAGCGCCGCGCTCGCATCATCAAAGACATCTTCCGGCAGAAGAACACTGAGTTGAGCGCCGCGGAAACGGGGATCTGTGGGTGTGATGATTTCGAAGGGAAATTTGCCGTCCTTGATGTTGCGCGCCGCGATTTGGGAGAGGAGGTGCTCTGCATATGCGGTGAGGAGTAGAGATCGTGATCGCAAGTCAGCCATGGATGTCTTCTCGAATACGCTGAGTGAGCCGGCCAAGCATGTGAGGTCGACGATCGATGGGTTTGAGCATTGGAAGCCCTGCGCGCCGGGTGTAGGAACGAACTTGTTGTCCATGAGGAAGCGTGATGACTTGTCGTGGCCGTACCAGCCCTTCAGCCCCTTGTAGTGGTCGTTGTTGCCGTGCTTCTCGTGGATGAAAGCACCGGCGATAGAACCGGCGCCAGCGTTCATGTACTTGTACGTGCACCAGCATGCGAAGTCGACATCCCAGTCGTGTAGCTTCAGCTCGGCGTTGCCTGCGGCGTGTGCTAGATCCCATCCGATGGTGATGTTGTGCTTGCGTGCGTGTGCGGTGATGGTGGGGATGTCAAGTAATTGGCCGCTGTAGTATTGGATACCGGGCAGCATGATGAGAGCCAGTTCATCGACGTTCTCGTCAATGAGCTTGAGGATGTTCTTTGTAGTCATGATGTAGCCATCATCTGGCTCGACCAACAGCATGGACTTCTTCGGGTCAAGGCCGTGCCATTCTATTTGCGACTCGATCGCATACCAGTCGCTGGGGAAAGGTCGCCACTCGCACATAATCTTGTGCTTCTTCTCTGTTGGCTTGTAGAATGCAGCCATCATCAGATGCAGGTTGATGGTCAATGTGTTCATGGCAACGATTTCTGAAGGGGATGCGCCGACGATGTCAGCCATCTTCTTCGAGCACCCAGCAGCCATGTCCTGGTAGGGTGTGAGCGGCGAGTCCTCGAGGGCGGTGAAATGACCGCCAACAGCGATTGATCCCCATGTCTTAAGGTACGCGTTCAAGTGTTCGCCAACAGCTTTCGGTTGCAGTCCCAAAGAGTTACCGCAGAAGTAGATGGCCTCGTCGTCTGGTGTTGATGCAGGGTTGGCGGTTTGTGCGTCATCGTTCAGGGTTTTCCGCTTTAGCTGCGCTTTGCTGGGAACAACAAACTCGGGTCGGAACGTCTTGGGAATGTCTGCATTTTGGTCGAGCGAATGCGCAAAGTCTCCTGATTCGGCGTTTGTTGGCCACTGTGGCTTCTGCCCTTGGCGAAGCTGTTGGATTGCTGCAGATGCGTCCATGGTAATGATGTGCTGTCGGTAAGGGTATGTCTTGGGGAACCAACGAGATGCAATGTGATGTACGAATGTCAGAATGATACTGAGATGACGGCGTCAGACTATATATGCATCACGATCTGGCCATTACGTCTCCAAGCAAGAGGCTTGAGGCTTGCATCAAACTAAGCTTGCACCTTCTTCATTGGGGTGTCGGACTCTCATCCGACAACGCTTCCGTCATTCCGAGCTCGGAAGACTATCGGAACGCGACCGTGGGTTGAGTGTGGACCTCGCTCTTCAGCGCAATAAAGCAGGAGTTCGCCGCTACAAGGAAGGACGTACCCTTCCGATATTACTGTGCAACCTTACCGTCGCTACCTTTTCCGCCGCAATGAGTCCTCACAAGATTCCCGTCCTCCCATCACCCGATGCACTCCCTAATTACGGCATCTCAAAGAACGGGTTCTTACCTGCCGAGCCACCACTAAGACGCTTACCGCATACCTACTATCAACCATGGGAGAAGATCGTTGAGCAACTTCCAACCCTCATAGAGACACAACAAATACGGCAATGGGTTGACGAATTGCCCGTTCTCGATACGTCGCATCTCTCCAGTGAGGCAGAATGGCAGAGAGCACACTCGATGCTCGCTGTCATAGCCCAGGGCTACATATGGGCAGGTCCCGAGCCATCAGAGGTATGTCAGCATGAAATCGCAGTACCTTAAAGTCTCCAGTCACTAACAAGGAAGCTAGCGACTACCCCCAGCGATCACTGTGTCGTTCCTTCAGACTGCCGACTATCTTGAGGTGCATCCAGTGGCCACATATGCAGCTCTGAACTTATGGAACTGGACACCACTCAACGAAGACGCCGACTTGACGCAACCGGAGAACATGGTTGCACTACACACAGCGACGGGAACCGATGATGAGTCGTGGTTCTTCATTATTTCGAATGCCATGGAAGCAAGAGCAGGCCCGTTGATCGAGGCCATGCTTGGTGCTATTGAAGCTGTCGAGACTGATGATGCCACAACGATCATACACGCCCTGCAATACTTCCGACAGGGAATGCAGCGCATTGGCCAGCTCTTGGAACGCATGGATGAGCGGTGTGACCCGCAGATGTTCTACCACACCATCCGACCTTTCCTGGCTGGGAGCATGAACATGGCGAGTGCCGGTCTACCAAACGGCGTTTTCTACGACGAAGGTAACGGAAAAGGCACATGGCGCGCTTATCGTGGTGGTTCCAACGGCCAGTCTTCGCTGCTACAATTCTTCGATGCGGTTCTCTCTGTCGACCATTCGAGAAGCGGCGGCTTTCACGCAGAGATGCGTGGGTACATGCCCGGGCCCCATGCCCGCTTTCTTGACGATGTCCAAGCAATCGCAAATATTCGAAGCTACGTCGATAGTCATGCAGACAACACTGAGCTTCTGACCGCATTCAACGAAGCCGTCGCGGCGCTCAGCGGCTTCCGCGACAAACACATCGCCTTGGTGACCAGGTACATCATCATACCGAGCCGAATGGGAAAACCCACTACCGGTCCCAAGAGACGAGATATAGCTTCCGCCTCGACGGAGTTGGCGGCCGAAAAGCCGAAGACGCAAGAGTTGGTCGGAACTGGAGGCACCAAGCTGATACCGTTTCTGAGAACATCGAGAGACGAGACTAGTGAAACAAAAGTCGTGCATTGAAGTGTCTTGGGAGAGAATTTGAAGAAGAAACCCACTCGTGACGCCATCCCATCCATCTCGAACTTACGGGAAGAAGTCACCGCCCATCTGCTGGTCGTGGATGGGAAAAAGCGGTATGTCAGCCACGGATACGCCATCAAGGTTGTGAGTGCCCGGCTGCAAGAAATCCTGGAGACCCTGATCGTTCTCACTCGGCCATGGCATGGCAAAGAAGTCGGCATCGTATATAGTCCAATCGAGTGGCGCTGCGGAAGACACGTGGCGCTGAACGGAGTCTCGGGAGACCAGCGACCCGTGGCCGAGCTGTGCGTCGCATTCATCCACTTGGGCCGCGATGTTAGTTGACTCTCCAGGCAATAGGCCAAACAATTCCGACGATGCTTGCTTCCTTTTACGGCGCAGATGCAGCTCTCTCTTCTTGGCATGTGCAGTGGTAATCTTCAGCAGCGATTGCGCGACCTGTGAGTATTGCCGGGCATGAGGGTCGACTTGACCAAAGTAGTCCATGCAAGTGATTGCATCTTTGCAGCTGTCCACTAACATAAGTCCCGAGTCCCCAAGAATGCCGACAGCAAGAACAAGTGTAGCCGTAAAGAGCCAGGATCTGATACCTGTTAGCCTACTCAATAGGGCAAGATAGCTTTACTTACACTATCAGTGGCATCTTACGAGGCAACTGCTTTGTAATCGTCACGACTAGCAGAGTATCCACTAACGTCGACGCGGCATCAAGTGCAGCATCTGCGTACTTGCGCTTCTCTTGGTGATCAGCTTGTGAGCCTCCGCTCTTTAGAGGAGCGCCCATGTACTCATATAACTCGTAGATGAGGAAAGGTCGGGTAAGTAGCATGATGCCGTAGTAATAGGAGCAGAGTGTGGAGCAAGCACCCACTACGGCTTCTCGAGAATGAGGTCTGGTCGTAAGATGAGATAATTTCTGCAGCCATTTGGACGCCCAGCTCTTCAACTGTCGCGAAACATAGTCTGCAATGCGTAATGATATGCGTTTGCGAGAGTACACTTCAACGACGACACGCTCAATAATCATGAAGATCTGGACGCTGGCATCCAGTATATTGGCATCATCGGTTTCGGTGTTGTCTTCAAAAGTGTTGTATTTGACGGTGCAATCGACATCTGATGTGGACGGAGGTCGGCCTAATGCGTTGCTACATGGGGAAGCAGAGGATCAGCATATACTACCAGAGTGAAGCTGTGCAGACTCCGCAACGTGTGA